GAGAAATATATATATATGTATATAAAAAAAGGGCAGGGTATACCATATGCACACAGTCTAGTGAACATGAAAACCAGAAGCAGCAGAGAAATAAAAACACTTTACCATCTGGAGGTGTCTCTGGGGCCTGACAGAGGAGCTCTGCAGAGCCTGTCTAGCCTTGGTCCGTAACATGACCCTAAGAAATTTGACCCACCCCTGTTGGGTGAAGATTCAGGCATACATCAAGATGCAGGACTCTTAGCCACACTGGTTTGATCTAGTGATGCACCGATACTAGTATCGGTTGAAGATGCAGAGTATTTGGGCGAGTACATTCGTCCAAATGCTCCTATACCGGAAATTCTGGTCAGATGAAGACTTCGTCTGACGGCAGTGCCATAGGGGAACATAGAGCCGGCCAAACAGGGAGCGGCTCCATGCCAGCGGAAGCACTGGTATCGGCGAGTACCGAACGCAAAATATCTGTACTTGTACTCTATACCGAAAAACCAGCATTGGCGCATCCCTACTAAAAAAAAAACAAAAAAAAAAAAAAAACCTTATTAAAATGACAAAACCAAGGAAGGCATATGGGAGGAACTTCCTTACTCAGAAGTGAGTTCAAAGACAAAGGGTCTGCCATGGCTCTGGACAGCATTCCATGGGTAACCAAACACAGTACACTCTGGTCTAGAAGGCAAAACAATGCAGAGCCCAGTGCCTGAAACTTCCAATAGAGGCTTGCCCAACACCTTCAGTTCAGCAGTGTCTGGATATAGCCTTCACTAGACTGAGGACACGGCGATTTGGATAGCGACTATATAGAGACCAGCTCAAGCAGCAGTGTCTGAAGAATCTTTATTGAAGTCACCAATGAAAACATCCATGAAGCAAAAAATGCTGGCAAAAAACTAGTTAGATTTTCTTTAGCAGAATAGACGAAAGGGCATCCAACTTCTCCTAGGACCCTAGGAAAAAGTTGAGGTATGCTAGATAAAAGGAGGGTTGTGCAGGGGATGGCTTGCAATTTTTCTGTTTGCCAGCCTAAACCTTCTGTAGGCGGCAGTATAACCTGACTGGTTCTAAATTCCTGTGTCCCTCAAATGGACAAGGAAGGAACTCAGGTTTTCTGTAAACAGTTTTGATGAAAAGCAATATCTTGGGTTGCCTGAAAACATTGCACAGTATTGAACATTGAATGGAATACCATTTGCCCAATTGTGCATGAAGTATAGAACCAAGAATGCTAGTCTAGTAGCATTTAAATACCCGTCACAGCTTGATTCTGTGAAATAACGTAGTACAGGTTTGAGTGAATATCACAGAAGAATGGCAAGGTAAAGCTCACACTATTGGCAATGTTTTTGAACGATATAAAAGCAAGCTACAGCATTGGCTAGTTGGAGGAACACATCAGTGCTACAATTTCCCTGCAATATGTTCTATACAAGACACAGAACTTTTGTTCTTTGTTCCCTACCACTGTGTCTCACTGGGACCAATAATATTTTCACAGTCACTTAGAAAAGGCACATTCCATTCTGGTGAGAACAATAACACTGCTATAGACAAAGCTATGTACAAACCATTAGAAGTATAGAAGACAGATCATTGTTTTAGGTGTCAAACTTGTTTGAAGAAAAAAAAAACTCTGCTTGGCAGTAAAAACAAAATCTTACAAACATCTTTGGCCTTTAAAACAGCAAAAACCTCTCTAATAGGCCATTCAATGTAGGTATACTGTGAAGGAAAGTAGGCGCTGTGCACATCTATATGACCCAACAGTGAACTCTGCCATAAGCTGCTAACTGCAAATGTCCAAATATCTGTTGGGAACTGATCTAATTACTTTCAGTGCAGGCAATTCTGTATCCCAATAAAAAGAATGGGTGCACACTGACCAATATATTAAAGCTGCAGGTCATTTCTGTTGTAATTAAATATCACATACTGGCGAAAATTTTTTTTACAGTTTAAAGCTGAACTCCAGGCAAACAGATATATACACAGATGAAATATGTAGGGGGGCATTTTACTTGGAAAAGGATTTGTATTCCCGTCTATTCAGTCCTAAGATTTACGCAGCTCTGCCACTCCACAAATCCTTGTTTGGCGTGGCAGGAGATGAAATTACCCTCCAGCGCTGGTGCGGGTCTCCGATCCAGCGATGACTCCTCTGATGTCCCACAGAGTCTGTGTGGGTGCACGCTGCTCCATATACTTACCTTGTGTCTCTCCTAGTCTCCCTGCCAAACATTTGAACTGCGCCCGCCCGAGAAATTTCAGATGGTCGGACAGGAGCGCACGGCGGAGACACAGGTGAGTATTAACCCTTTGAAAACGTTTTTTTGAAAATCGTTTTGTATATATCTATTGCTTGCTAACAGTAGATATATGCAAAAACACGCAAGGTTTTAATAACCCTTTAAGTAACATTTTAGGTCCTGGCCCATCCCCAGAAGCAACAGACAGGAGCCAATTTCTCAGTCACTCTGCTTTACACTTATTAGCATGCTCCTTGCACTGCAGTACAACTTTTGCCTCCTTGTGCTACTTCCCCCTTCCACATCTGAGCTCTGCTGTATATTGGACTGCAAGAGGTTGATAAGTCAAATTTAGGTACTTACGCTGCTTGCATTTAAAAAGATACATTTAAAAGATCCATTAATGAATACATAGCTGCATTACATGGTGTCTTTTATATCTGTCCAGAGGTTAACTTTAACATTGTGAAACAGTTACAGTTTATCTCTGTAGCTTATGTCATCCATTCAGAACATTAGATAAAATGGATGATTCATCAGTGGGAAGCAACTAAAATGACAGAAATGACAGAACAGAAAGTGATGAGGAACAAAAGCAAATAGAACATCAGAATTCTTTTTTTAGGCCACACTAACTTTTCTTTAAGGAAACAAAAACAAAACAAAGTATAAACTTCTCAACACAGTTTGCATAGTACCACGCTGGTGCACAGCATATTTAAAACACTCTTCCCTCATCATTTAGACATGTAGTGCCATTTTGGGAACAGTATACGCTAGTCAGATGGTGGGATTATCTTTCGATCATGTGCTTTCTAGCAGCAAGCTTTTGAATCGAGTTCTTGGCATTCCAGGGCTCAGTCTGTTTTTTTGACCTGCTCACAGTTCTGCTTTTGCATCATGCAGCGACGGACGATACTGTCAAAACTGCCAAGGTAGAACAATGCAATTGTGCGGAACAGTCCCATTGTGATAACCTAGAATTGAAACAAGGTTGGATTTAATACTTTATCAAAACTAAATGAACCTGTACTCCATTTCAAAGTTTTACATGTAAAAAAATCTTCCCACACATCACAAGATTCAGGGGCTCATTTAAAATAAATCACCATCAACTCTGTTACACTGACCTTAGCTATACACATCATGGCCCATATCAGGCAGAAAACTCGAGGTGGTGGAACCCCATGGGGTTCTCTCTGCTTAAGGCAGGGGAGAGAGCTTAGTAGCTGAAAGAGCCAATCACATGACTGACAGTTCACGTGATTGAACTTTCATACTGGCATTTTATTTTTTTTAAAACACAATTTTCATTTAGTCTCAAAGCCAGTGCAAAGAACATTTGTAAAAGAACAAGAGATACGGCCATACCACTATTTTTAAATTGGCCTCTTAGTTTTACTTCATTATTGCGGTCTTCAGTCCCAGACTTCATGACTAAGTTCCACCAATTGCCATTCTCCCAGCCAATGAGTCAGGTACCTTTACGGATCAGTATGGCAGGTTTATTGGCCAGAGAAATGGCATGACATCTTGCAATGTCAAGCAGCAGTAAAGAGAAACTAGATCAGAGAGAACAGAAGAGCTTTTTCACCAGAAAAGAAGATCACCACAATTATTTTGTGGAACTGGCTCTTGGCCAGATATATATATATGGCCACTTCCCATTTCATTTTTTTTACAGCCTCCTTATAAATCAGAGGAGGTAGAGCATATCAGCACTGGATAAGTTTATGATGGCCTCTCCTTTGCCTCTAGTAGGTTTCTCTTTTCATGCTCCTGGCTGCAGGATATTATCAAGAAGCAGAACATGCATAAAAGCAGCACAGGGCAGTAGGATGCATGAGGCTTGAGCAGGGATCCTTGGAAAGGCACCCAGAATTATCAGAGAAGATGTAGCCATGTGGTGGAAATTTAGTTTTTATATGGTTGGCACAAAAATCCTATTTTTTTTTTGTCCATTGAGTAACACTAGGAGCCATATAGTCAGAGCTGGTGCACAAGCAGCTAAAAAAAAAATGGCATCACCCAGCCTTAGAGAGCAAGATGCAGGTCATGGCTCCGAGTAATGTCAGTTCCGCCCCCGCCACCTGTTCTGAGAGATTTAGGCCGCACGGTGTTATCAGTGAGCTCCGTCAAGTCCCGTCTCTAAAATAGGTCTCAAATTAATTCCTAGGCTGTGGTGCCATTGATTTAAATACACCCCCCTCCTGTCCCAGAATGCAGGGAGCCAGCCAGGATGTAAACCAGTGCGTTCCAGCAGCTAATCTTGCTGGGACGCACTGGAGCTGGTGTGAACAAGCCCTGAATGCTGCTCTATACTCAGCACTGATCTGCCACATCTGAAGAGGCACTCCGCATCTGCCTCCACTCAAGACATCAGATTGGCACCCTGGAACAGAGCGGTAGCACAGAGTATGTAGCAAATTTATATACTATTCTGTATTGCTGTATAATCTATTGGTGGGATTTGTAGTCCTCTATAGCTGATGGTATTATTCTTCAGTGGCAGAACTACCAGGGTCTCAGCGGTTGCAGCTGCGACCGGGCCCTAGTACTCCACGACTCCAATGCATCGGTATTGGCGAGTACTTGAGGAAAAGTATCGGTACTCAGCCTAGAAAAAAAATGTTATGGGTGCATCATCCCTACTCCGTCCATGCCCTTACCAAGGCACAGACATTTAGTAACATGGATGCTGGGGAGGACGGTGGGTGCATTAAAATACAAAAATTCCTGAAAACTCTTGCACCGGCCCTGCATATACTGTTAAAAGCAGTCCAACTGAGGGGTGGGCAACAGCAAAGAAAAAACACAAGTAAAAATGGTTAGTCTTTTCCAAGCAGAAATTAGGAAAATATTCTACCTACAAGGTCAGTAGGAAGAAAAAAAAAAACCCAGAGGCATGCTGGTATTTGAAGAAGCTATCCCGGGCTGGTCTACAAATTTTTTTTTCCAATTCTCGTTTGGGCAGTAAAATAACCTGACAGTATATGACTTCCTGTGTCCCTCAATGGATGAGAAGAAATGCAACTACATATTTGCTTTATAGAAGAGAGAAGAATGTAGTAGCCAATCTGAAATGGAGGACACGCGTTAGTGCTTTTATTTCGTCACAAACCACTGTAACTAAAACAAATTTCAAACATTACCTGCTGGAGCCCCTCTGTGATGGTAGTAACAGGTGACATTCCACATGTTAAAGAAGAAAGCATATAGCCATCAGATCCAACAGAACTGTTAAAATTACCTTGCTGCAATAAAAAAAAAAAAAAAAAACATAACTACTTGGAAATTGTGGCAGTAACATTGCAAATTTCAACTTTAATCAAGACGTAGGCAATAACTTTGTAATCCACATAGTGCGTGTCAGGTGTCACCTCCCTGGGCCTTACTAAACAAGTGATACAAGGCAAATACTAAAGCAGTGGTTCTCAACCTTTCTAGGGTCGGGACCCCTTGGTAACATTTGCCAAGTTGTGTTGACCCAACAGAGCACGGGCTTAGCAACGCACTGGACTCAGGGCTTAGAACAGAAGCACACTCACAAGAATACAAGCCCTCCCCAGCCCCTGCTTGCCTGCTCTGTTTCCATGCAGCCTTCTCAGCACTGCTAAGATGCCCGCCTCCTGCAAAGCCTGCACTGTATGGGAGGCAGGAGGACAGCAGCGGCTGTGAAGAGAAAAGTCCTGCTGTACACACTCCCTGGCCACCAGATGTAGCTGCAGTAGCCGGGGAGTGTGTACAGTGGCACTTTTATATTCACAGCCGCTGCTGTCCTCCTGCTGACAGATGCTGACACAGCTGCGCTAGTAGGAATCTGAGGAGCCTCTCACCTAGCGCAGCAGAAGTGCCCGTAGCGACCCACTCAATAGTGGGTTGCGACCCACAGGTTGAGAACTGCTGATCTAAAAGGGTTTACAAGGACAGAATCATGTCACAGCAGAAACATTTGAGCTGCTAGTTCTTGGCGGGTCATTCTTTACTCTGCTTAAAGTAACCCCAAAATGCTTTATTAATTAATTGACATGTGGATGTAAAAACCTGGCACTTGCGATAATTGATCCTCACTTGTGGGTCAGATGCATTAAAAAACTGGGGGAAAAAAACCCTCAGGGAGCAAGTCACTTCTACACATTAAGATGTATCACATTGCCTCACACTGTCCAGACCACAAGACTGAAACAACCATGAAACAATGTATTTTGTCATAACAAACCACTGTGCTCAACACAATCTTAAATGGCACTCCCAACTCCAGCACTCTACAGACACTCCACCATTGCTCCTACCTGGCAGATCTGCAAGCAAGCATTTACAACTTCTGGAATTCTCAGTCCCCATTTTCCCCCATCCTAGGGAAACTAGGACAAGACAAAACAATTAACCTTTTGGGTCGCAGGGACAAATCTCAATCCCCACATTTCATCAGCAATTCCTCTTGGCTGACGTTGGACCAAAAACATTTTCATGACCCCGTCTTCTCTGGGACCTCTGAATTCTTCAACTACCACATTATCTCAGATCCTTACCCCACTGAGTGCTTTACAACCCAATACTATTCCACTGGACCAATGGGACAATCTATTGCTCATTAACAAATTACTCCTATAGGAGATATCCAAAACCACCCTCTGATTCTTAGATACAAAAAGGAGAAAGACCTCAACATACCATTTTCATCACCCGGCAAAATACAAACCCTCCCTTATAGATCATCCATCAGGAACAGACAGCCAGAATCAAATTATAAATTCATCACCCACTGGTACAGAACTCCAACTATACTACACTGCATCTACTCTTCTCATCCAGACTCATGCTGGAGATACAACTCGGCCTTAGGTGAAAAGTGTCAAAACCTTTAGACTGGCCCTACAAGCTTTCTGGTCCCAAATCTACACCATTTCTTAAAGAAAATAAACCACAGATTACCCTACATTAGGGGGCCGCATTATTTTCTCTCCACCACAATCCAATACCCCTTAAAAACATACAAAAACCTGATAGCACAGTTCACAAAATGCATTAACAATATGCTAAAAGTTTCAGATAGAAGAGGAATGACAATGTTAATACTGTGACTGCAGTGTTAGCACCCAGATAGTAAAAGATAGCTTTATTAACATTACCACATTACTTGAGATTATATGCTACTGCCCAGATGGCCACATAAATTGGATTTTCCCTTCATGTTTGTAAAGTCCTTTTGGCACCATAGTATATTGCTGTGTGTAGGGCTGCAACAACTAATCGACATAATCGATTATTGACCTCCTGCACAGAAAAAATGGTATACGTGTGTATACGTGTATCCAACGCTATAAATAAATGCTTACACTAAAGTAATATAAAAACACTACCCAACCCTACACCATTCTGAATTGGCTGCGTTTTTTTTTTAATGACATTTATTAGGTTTGTATATAGAAAATTCTGTAATCTATATATTTGATTCACATAGATGTTTGTAAGTGTCCATTAATTAAAGCGTTTTCATTTATCATCTACAAATGGAGTTAAAATCTTCTAAAAGGGATATATTGTTTCCAATGCATGATCGGTAGTAAGTGTATATGTGCATTTTGAAATAAAAAGCACAAAAAAACCTCTTCATGTACTTACTATAGCATCTCCAACGATCACTTTGGCAACTTGAATGGGTTGGCAAAGGCTTGAGGACTCTGAAATTAACTTGGTTTCCAGTGGCTTGAAACGAAACACATTACATAACCATATATTATAGCTACATGTGAAACCATAGACGCTACAAGAGTTAAGTTTGCTAACTTGCATGCACATATTTAAAAGGAGGCTGTACAAATCTAGTCCATTTATGCCCCCCCCCCCCTTCCATCACACCTGCTTGCTGTATCTTTGTCTAACTGAATGTACAAGCTTAGAAATGCTAAGTATTTCACTTGAATTGTCCGTTCAGATTTCAAGCGGGCTGGCAGGGGTAATACAGCACAACTGCATGGTGGAGCATGGGGAGGTGGTTGTATCCAACACTTATACCCCGGCCTTTCTTGAAACAGAACTTGCTGGGTCAGACAGTCAACAAGGTTGCCGAAGCTTAGAAGTCTAATAAAAATTCTGATCCAACATGAACTGAAGGAATAGACCACATGACCAATGTCAGCCAAGTCTCTTAGCATTCTAACGAAAAATATTTGCTTAAAGCATACCTAAACCCAAACCATTTTATTTATGGCAGCTTACCAATGGTTAAAATGCGTTGATGGGAGTTCGGGTGACGAGCCCCATGGGGATGTACCGCACAGACACGACCAGGAGAAGGAGAGGGCCTCCGCAGATGTCAAACAAACGAGATGGGGCAAGTCGGAACTCAGTAAGTATTCATCTCTGTATGAGGAAGGGAGGTCTACAAGGATAAGTGCACTTTTTACAGTGCACATAACGGACTTGGTTTAAGGCCTAATAAAGCGATCCAAGACCTTATAGAAGGAAAACAACCAGTGGTCAACTGGAAAGGTGCTCACTTCTGTAGACTAGTCTAGGTTTTAACTTTTTTGCATTGCATTTACATGTGCCTCATGCATTACTATTCAAATCCTATGGAAAACCAAAAGATACAGCAAGCAGGCATTTTATTTTTTTTTTTAAACAACCCACCAGCAGGTGTAAACAAACTTTCATTTTTAGAAATATTCCATGCTTGTTTCTGCAAACTTCAAAGACTTGGTAAAATCAATAAAAACACAGAAATGTGTTACAAACCTTTGCACACAAAATTAGATATACGCAATCCAAAGTTAAAGACAACCAAGGATTTTGATTTGAAAAGGACAAATTCCACTTTCTACTCAGACGTGTCAAGGGCAGCGAGCATGCGAGTTGCAATCCAATGATCAGCAATATTTTCTTTCTACAGTTGTATGACTCATTAAAAATTAGGTATGCCAATTACAGATCGGGAACTCTACTCTTTAAGAATGTATGTGATTAACCAGTTGACATCCGCGGTGTTAAACCCCCTTCCCATCCAGGCCATTTTTACGTGCACAGTCCGTTCAGGTTACGACAGAAAAATACTGCAAGCCACATTTTGTACGGTCAGGAAACGATCTGGAAACGCAGAACGCGTCAAAAAACGCACTGCAGCTAACATACTGACAGCCCCACTCCAGCAAAAAAAACATTTTTTTTACCTGGAACGCATCAAAAACACATAGCACCGCATCTGCAGATCCGCACCTGATCCGGACCTAAAACTCATGTGAACAGACCCTTAGGCACATACTTAGTCTATCCAAAGCAAAAGGGAGTGCCAGTGTCACTATGGCTTCCAGGAGGAGCACTTTTAACCTAGATACAGGAGTGAAATAAAGAACAAAAATGTATGAAAATCCTACCTTTGATTTATTTTCTTCGGCAAACCCGGGTGTGTCAGTGTCCGGAGGATAGGCAACAGTAACATAAACGTTATATGGCTTAACCTGGAAAGAGAATCCAATTATGACCCAGTTGTGGCAGCATTAAAAAGCTCCTATGCAACAACATAGTCAGCTTTTCTGAAAAAGCTTATTAGGTAATCAGTTCAGAGACTTGGTACAACTATTGTCATGTTTTAATTAAAGCCATGATGTACATGCCAAATGATTTGCATTTCTGTCTATTCAGTCCTGAGATTTACACAGCTCTGCCTCACCACCCTGTTTGGCAGGGCAGGAGACCTGATATTTCTCTGCTATAGTTAGGTAACATTTTAAAGCCTTGTCCCTCCCCCAACTGGACAGCAAAGAGAGCAGCAGCACACTGGTCTAGTGCATCCGTTACCCTGCTTTCTTCACCTAGCAACATGTACCTCGTCAGCACATGAGCAATACAGCACAGCTTATTGGATTCTTGTGCTGCCTCTCCATCTCCCCATCTGAGCTCTGCTGTACAGGGAATGCCAGAGGCTGATACAAAGTCAAATTCAAAGTCATCACCTGGACATAATGCTAGAGGAAATCCTGCCTTTATTAGACAGCAATAAAAACATAGCAAAGGTTGAATTCCTACTTTCTTATAAACCACCCAAAATAAACAAGCAAGCCTTGTCTAGAATTACACTCTAAAAGTTAGTTTACGCTTAAAATAACAAAATAAAAAAATTCTACCTGCATAAACTGGTCAGTAATGCTGTATTTTCTATATACCGCAACAGTATTACCAGGGTAACTGAAATTGTAGAAGTGGGTGGACACCCCAAATGGATGTCTAACTGCAACACCCTTAAAAGCAGTTTACAATTCTTGGGTAATGTCATACAAGTCTACATAATGCAAAACCAACATATAAAAGGTTTCAGTAGAGAGCAACAAAAAAAAAAAAAAAAAAGGCGACTGCTGATGGCACCATGCAACTGAATGCACTTGGGTGCTATAGGGTTTGGAAAAAATGTGCAGATCCCCTCGCCTGTGCAGCTGTATTACGCTTTGCATTTATATGCTTTTTATCAGGTTGTGCCAAACCACATCAGCCCTGCTTGTGAACGGCCATTGTAAAGAGCCACAGAACATAACAGATGCCCAAAATGAATCTTAAGGGCTTGTTCACACATTGAGCTGCAATTTTCTGCACACCACCACATACTGTATGTATGGAGTAAATAGTACACACTATACATATATGGCTCAACAGAAGTGTTAATTTCATCAATAAATTTCGTCATACTTTTCATAAAACATTTTTTCCATGACTCAATAAAAACTAGGTTATGACAACTAAAACCATAACGAAAATATATTGACATTTCACTCGACTAACTAAAACTAGACTAAAATGGTAGGGAGAGAAATTTGGGAAGAGATCCAATCAGAACTAATCTAATTCCAGTTGCGCTTCTATCCTGAATGGACGGCTAATAGGCAATATGTGCAATGGCATTACAGCCAATATAGTTTTTCATGTTAATATTTTAGAGTTGCTATTCTGCTTGAAAGAATGACACATTGTTATAAATCAATGCATATCTAATTACTGGTCCTTTGTTGAAAATACTTAGTTTCTTTATAAGACTTGGATTCATCTAATTTTAAGATAAATAAGGACATGTTCTACATCACAAAAATGTAATTGGTGTCTGTGTTGCATGTTCAAACCTATATAGCATAAGTAATAACAGGTTAACCGATGTTTACTCCAGGAGTATATAATGAGATTGGAAATTCTAGAGAAATTTTTAAATTACTCTAACTTAACCCACTGGATATTAGTAGACTACATATTCTGTAGATTTAGTCGACTAAAACCAGATGACTAAAACTAAAATCGAAATTTGCTGTCAAAATAAACACTGCTTAACCCCTTCATGACTGAGCTTGTTTTTGGTTTCTGTTCGTAAATGACTGACACACTTTTGACATTTTTGCTGTGTGATTCTTCCACGTCAGTAATATACTTTCTTACAAAGTGCACCCACACATATTATATATTGTTTTTTAGAGGACAGATAGGGCTATATATTTATATCACATATGTGTGTCTAACGCCTCACTTAGGACAAATACAAATTAAAAAAAGAGGAAAAAACGTAAAAAAAAACTTTTTTTCCCAGTTTTGATTTGTAGTATTTTTTTTTAACAAAACCAGCACAGCTAAAAAAAAATGCAATACATACATTCATTTATTTGTCCCTTATTTTTAATTTTTTTACACTTTTCACTATTTTTTTTAATTTATTTACACTTTTCACTTTTTTTATACTGACAAATTGTATTTATTTAATTATATCAGGCAGTCATTGTGAATTAATCTCACTATTACTGCTTGATAAATTAATACATTATTTTTATTATCAGGCTGCTTCAAACTTCAGAACAGCCGATAATAAGTTAGTGACACTGATCCTGCAGCAGTTCAGGATTCAGCTGTCAGTGAATGTTTCAGAAAACTTAAACATTCTACTTTCAAGAATAGATACATTATGTGTCTAATACATAACATTTTGTATCTATTCTTGAAAGTCAAAAGATTAAAAAAAAAGCCAGTATAGCTTGAGAGAGATATCTCTCGATCTATACGAGCTGTCAGAATGCCGGCAAAAGCCGACATGTGTGTCCGCTTTGCTGTGACTCTCAGACACCCGATATTATAAGGTATCGGGTGTCTGAAAAAGGTTAACCCTTTCAGTAATGGATCTCTAGATAGTTAGACATCCATTACTGAAAGGTAACCGCTGATTCTCAGCGGTTAGCAGCCTTCTAGTGCAGCAAATAACTCGCCACGTACAGTGTACGTGACGAG